ATCTCAGCTCACTGTAACCTCCACCTCTGGATTCAAGCGCTTCTCCTGCCTCAGTCTCCCAAGTAGCTGGGATTACAGGTGCCTGCCACCACGCCTGGCTAATTTTTGCATTTTTAGTAGAGATAGGATTTCACCATGTTGGCCAGGATGGTCTCAAACTCCTGGCCTCAAGTGTGATCAGCCTGCCTCGGCCTCCCAAAGTCCTGAGATTACAGGCTTGAGCCACCATGCCCAGCCCAATCCAAGCTTTTCTTGAAGGATCATGAACCCTGCTTCTTACCCTTTCTGGGATTCCAGCGGGGATTAAATTGATGCCCAGGTTCATTGCCGATGGCGAGGCCCCAGCCACCACCTGCAGAGATAGGAAATATGTGGCTTTACTCCCAACACTTCCAGGTGGAGACAGACGCTAGAGCCAGCCAGTCATTCCTCAAAGGAAACAGGAACAAGATGTGGCAGCAGCGGCAACTTGATTGACAATAAAAAATCAAACTCAGACACTTGGAACAACACAGACCCAAGACTTCGTTCTACATCCAGTGACTCACCAGACTGAACAGAAGTTAAAAAAGGAGTCCTAGAACTACGCTAAGTCGCCCAGTTGCTTCCTCCCTTGGCTTTCTTTCAACCAGAGGTGCAGTGTCCAAGAGAAAGGTGGTTTCGATTGCTTTTAAACATGCACCCATTTGTTATTTCAGCTCCACAAAGCGCCTCAAGTCTGTGGAGGATGAAATGGACAGTCCTGGTGAGGAGCCATTTTATACAGGCCAAGGGCGCTCCCCGGGAAGTGGCAGCCAGTCAAGTGGATGGCATGAAGTGGAGCCAGGTAAGCAGAGTGGGGGCACGGGCATGTGGCTAACACTGCGAAACTCCCATGCCATGCATAAAAGTGAAGAAAGCAAGCTCAAGGTAGTTCAGTTTTTCAGGATGAACACTTGTTTGTATTGTAATCCAGTTGCCACATTCATAAAAGGATGGCTGTGCAAAGCGGTAGTAATTCAACTGAAATGCAAGACTGGTGAGATGGTATATGATTTTCTACTCTTACATATTTTCCCCTACACCACAATTCAGCGTTTGATTTGCTTTTGGGGTTTTTTTGTTTGCTTTGGGTTTTTTTTTTTTTTTTTGAGACGGAGTCTCTCCCTGTCACCCGGGCTGGAGTGCAGTGGCATGATCTTGGCTCACTGCCACCTCCTTCTCCCTGATTCAAGCAATTCTCCTGCCTCAGCCTCCCAAGTAGCTGGGATTACAGGCACCCGCCACCACGCCCGGCTAATTTTTTGTAT